AAAAAATTCACATATGTACACCAGAGTATTTCTTTATTAGTTCAAACACATATTCTCTACCATTTATATATTTGATATTAAACATATATTATTTACCTGTAAATGAAAATATAATGGAATTTATGAATATAAACAAAGTTTTTAAAGACAAGAAGGTGGGTATCAACAGCGGATAGAAGCACTAAACGTACATAAATTATATAGATTTGTACTCACATTTAAGACTTAGATCAGTAAGTCTGAAATCCTGGATCTTAATAATATGAAAAATTTTTAACAGAAAAAAAATCTAGTTGATAAATTTAAATTCCACTTTAGTTAATATTTAAATGTTTAATACGAATGTAAATACCGAATTTAACATTTAACATAAGTACTTATTTACTTGGTTATTCTGCGTCAATAGCTTCCTAAAGTTAAATTACTTTATTTTGATTTTTTTTAGTTCAAATTGTATTATTTATTTTTTTAGATCTGCGTATTCCTTTAACCTAAATAAATTTATGGCAGTTAAATTATCTCTCCAAGTGAGGTTTCTAATAACGTAATAACGTTAATACATTATAACGTTAATAGAGCTTACACATAACTTAATAACGTTTCACTTCGGCGAAATGAAACGGATAATAAATAAGTAATATTTATATTTATTATCTTATAAATAAATCTAATTGGCTCGCAATAGATCGTTTTAATTTTTAACATAACGATAATCAATAAAAGCGAGTAACTAAGTAGATCGAATTCAACGAAGTTGTTAATTTGTTTTACTGTCCATCGAAGGAGTTATTGAACTAATTAGCATATTTTACTTGTTTAAAATATTAGTATGCACTGTACTGAATATTTTATTAACAAATCCACCACGATATCCTTTTTCATCAAATCTGAAAAATTGAGAATAAACGTACAAGATCTGAAAGAGCGAACATGCAAGAGTCGAAAATTTAAATCACTCTCACTTGTCAGTATGAGTTTATACATATATATGTTTTTGATTGTACAATTTTATTTTTCGAAGCACTTGAAATTCTACTTATTTAAAAATACAGATGGGTCGTCGGAGGTGGCTAGTAGGGAATATAATAAACTTTTTTGTTAATTCCCTTCTGAGCTGGTACTTTTATTTAACAAAATTGACTTCATAAATTATTACCTTCATGTCAGCTAATTTTCGAAAAATGCATTTAGTTAGGCTTAGAAATAGCTGTTTTTATCGTAATGAATGACTTGGCGACTTACTTGGAGAGCTTGTTCCCAAATAGTAAAATTACGATAAATTTTAATTATTTTAAATAAATATTATTTCTAACAATTCTAAATATTCCAAAAATTCTAAATAAATTATTTCTAAGCCTATTTGTATGAAATTTTTGATAGTTAGAAAACATAAAGTTAGCAATAAGCTAACATGATTTAGATAATTAGAAAAAAAAACTAATAATAAATTAATATGATTCAGATTATTAGAAAATATAAACTTATAAGCTAATATGATTTAGATAATTAGAAAAAAGAACTAATTGTAAACTAATATGATTTAGATTAATAGAAAACTGAAATTTATAAACTAACATGAAACAGATAATAAGAAAACATAGAATTTATAATAAACTAATATGATTTCGTTAATTTTAAAATAGAAAATTAACAACTAGAAAACGTAAAATTCAGCACGACGTCAAAGGCAGGATCCATAGCCATAGGGAGGAAAACTAGCGGCGATTACACCCATGAGTTTGCTTTACAATTACAATTTTCATTAATTATGATGTGTCTTCACTCGTATCATATTTTATCAAAACAATAATGCAAATAACCAGGTTACAAAAGTAAAATTAGGTTTAAAAGTGATAGTAGAGATATTTAAAGGAAAAGAGTTTGAAATAATAGTTTTACTAGTCTTAAAGAAATCTAGTTTTTTTAAAGGAAAAAAATAAGAAAAATTGAAGATAAATGTAAAGAATGGCTAATATCTTAACATGGAAAATAGCTAGTAAGATAGAAAACAAGTAAATATAAAAAGTTAAATGTGGTAGATAGCACTTTCGGTCTTGCAGACAAAAAGATTTATCAGAGTTAAGACGACTATTGTACTGTTGACGTTATGCAGGTAGCAGTTTCAGAATGAAGCTTGAGAAAAACGTTAGTATTTCTCGACAAATGATTTAATTCAAAATTTCAAGTGTATCATCTGCCGCATTTTTTCAGCTTTAGACTGATTGGGTTTCCTATTCATCAACCGTATTAAGAATAAAACTTGTTATATGTATTTTATTTCTAAAGAAAAAAGAAGAAAAAAAGTAATTCATATCATTTTAATTTATAGCTTTCCATCTAGTTTCGCAAAATAAAATAAAATTTTAGGCTTATCTTTCAAGACTGGATAAAGAAACTAATAAAATGAGAAAAAAAAACAACACTTTTTGAGTAATAATCGCAATATTTTATTAACCCAAATTTTTCCTTTTCATTCATTTAAAAAACATATTTTTCATAAAAATTTTTTATTTTTATGCATAGTCAGACATGATAGAGTGCATAGATGCAAGCTTACGAGCATTTGGAATCATTAGAGCTTTCAAATTATACGTTTAAGAGCATATCAACAAATGTTAATTTTTGTGATGTATTTTATAGTATTAACAAAAATTTATTCGATAAAAAATAAAACTAATATGGAAGGATAAAAGAAACATATTTTTTTACGAAATGAAAGATGCGTCTATTTCACTTTATTTGTTGTCTGTTGAAGTATCCGCTTTCTTTAAATAACTCATTTTTATTACAAATTTTTTTGAAGGTCCACTTGTGTTTTTTTTTTTTTCAAATTTTATCAGGCGTAATAGTATTGATTAAATGGCTTAGATAAAAATCTATCAAATTGTTTATTTAATTAAAAAAATTATTGAACTGTAAAAACAAAATACAAGCGTGATTTATTTAATTTTGAGATTAAAATAAAAGGCTTTAATTTGATATACGCAGGGAAAAAAGAATAATTTAAAAATCGTCTGCTTATTTGATCTTATGAGTATTTTATTGTTTCTTGCGTAAAATGAGTATCTCTTCAAGTGAGCCTACAAAGCATTAATAATGCATTGTCAGAGTATTTCATTGTTTACAGAGCCAAATGAGTATATCTCCAAGTGAGCTTACAAAACAATAATAATGTATTGCCGAAGTATTTTATTGTTTACAGTGCCAAATGAGTATCTCTCCAAGTGAGCTTACAAAACAATAATAATGTATTGCCGAAGTATTTTATTGTTTACAGTTCAATAAGATACTATAAGAGTAATATAATGTAAAAAATGAGAGTAAGTAAGATTACATAAATTAATTTCTAGACATGAGATTTAAATTTTCATCGGCTCATAAAACGCCGGGGGGTATTATTTCTTTAACAATGTAAAATATAACAGAATAAAATTTAAGACTTAATAAATGAGTTTATATATGAAACTTTTTTTCTCTTAGATTAATACTTCATAATAATTTGACTAACTGAACAAGTTTTGTTTATACTCATCAGTAATTATGCGGCGTGTTATTCTTCTTCAAAGAAAAAAAAAGAGAATAATATAATGTAAAATTATTATGTGAATTACATAAATTAGACCAATTACTCATATTTAAATTGTAAGATTATATAAATTCATATTAAAGTTGAGTTAATATTATTGTACACCGAGAAAAAAAGTATGGTTAAAACTACCAAAATATGGTACAATTTACCGCGTTTCTGGCTCTATGAGAACATCAAAAAGTTCAGATCGATAATTTTTACTCAAGCCCTTTGGAAATAATTTTAGTAAAATTAACAATAAAATATGGTATTATAACCTGTGATACAATTTGGTAATTGTGGTAAAATTTGGTAATTTTATTATGATACTTTAGACAGCATGGAATAAAAAACAGTTATTCGGTTAAAATTACATTTCAGTTTTGTGTTTTTTACTAACGTGTGGTAATAAGAACTAATTTGAAAACCAGAATTTTCAGTAAACCGTTACCAAATAAACAAATTACTAAATGAATGGTTTAAATACCGTATTGTTTGGTTTTATGAACCAGAATTATGACTTTTCTTAACAGAAATGTCATTACCATACAGTGCGGCAATTTTAGCAGAAATTTTTTACATGTTATATGTTCAAAAATGTACATTGTTTTGCATATAATTTTAACTTAAAAACAAGGCAATTAAAAATTATCTTTATAAAATATTTTATGAATAAATTACTGAGAAAACGAATATTTGGTATCGTACAGTATTTTGCGCACCATTTAGGAAATTAAAGTAAACCGCAGTTTAAACCTTGTTTTCATAACAATCTTCGTTCGAAAAGTACACAGAAAATTAATTAAAGCTCCTTCACTGAACCCTACAAGGAAATACAATCCCATTATACACTTTATGGAATAGATTGTGGGCATAAACTTTTCAGAAATAAAATAGTAAGTCCTGTTGGTGTACAAGATTTTAAGAATCTGTAAAAATACGCCGCAGCAAACAAACAAAATTAAACATGTAAAATGAATTTATCATTTATGTACTTAGGGTTTTATTTTAAAAGAGTCCTATTTTTGTAAGAATAGGTTGTTTAAACATGATCTTGAAACCTCCATTTAATGCAGACACAATATATTTAAAATGAGAATAACTTTTTGACCAAGAAAAGTTGAGTAATGATTTTTTTTTTATTCAAGTACATATTTTTACGATTTCCAATTTGATATCATGACATATGATATGAATGACAATTTCTTCGCAGTAAACAGAGAGTCAGTGAAATATAGCTCGAGATTGTACATATGTATGTCGTATTGTTAGCTATAAATAAATGTTCGTAAATTGTTTTTTAATTTTTTTTTTTAATTTTATAAAAATTATTTCTGTATTCAAAATTATCACAAATGCTTCGACAACTAACAAAAATGTATGAACTAATGAAAAAATTAAATCATTATATAATAAAAAAATCATTAATTACCTACTGATTTCGTTGAATGTCAACATTCAAAACTCTACCTGGAAAAGAAATTTCTATGATTATCATTTGAACATTCATAACACTACATAGTATTTTCATTAACTAGTCAATTCTAATGGAATATAAATTTACTGTACTATAACAGTAAAGAAATAAGACGAACATCAGATACAGTATTTATAAATTTACTACCAACTCGTATTGATAAAATTCCTACATGAAATTTACTTACGCAAAAATTTGTTTGAATTTTATTTGAATTTAAAGAAATAGGCAATGAAAAATAAATGGACGGTAATGATTTCAAAAATGCTTCTTTCATAAAGTTTAAATTTTATTTTGATAAAATTGAAAAATTTTGCAGAATAATACGTTGACATTTTTAAGAATTTGAAAAACCATAACTTCAGAATACACAAATATGACAAAAAATTGCTTAAAAACTTTTTTATTTTTGCATTTCAATTTAAATAAACATTATGAGCTTTATGTACAGGGTGTTCCTCGAAGTTCGCATTTAATATGTACTTTTGTAATACTTTGCAGAAGTAATGGATGAAATAGATTAAGGAAGAATGAAATATAAACCTACTAGGTGGCTTCGCCCCCTGTTCGCTGGCGCTCGTCACCCCTCGGAACTGCTTTCGCAGTTCACTTCGGATTGCTTTGCAATCCGATGCTCGCTTTACTCGCTCATTGGATACGTTCCTAACGTCTAGCTTTTGTATACTTTTTTGAACACTGAAGTTCCGAAAACTTTTCACGGTAGAAAATTCTAAACCTGTGCATTTCAATATTAATTTGAAATTGCAAACAGTTCACATATTTTTCTTAATCACACTATTCTAAATTTCAGTTGTTGAGAAAAGTGACTGTTGTAAGTTTTGTTTTAAAGTCTTTCCCACCAGAGGGCTAAAACCATGTGTTGTAAAACAATATGAAATAGTACTGAAAGCCGGATGTAAAGCATCAGCTTCGATGAAGATAATTTTGTGCGAAATTTTTTGATAATTCGATGAGAATTCACCCGATTAGACATGATTCTCACTACGCGCTCTTGCGCGCCGAAGCCTATCGATTAAAACGTATTAGCGTTTTATATAATGTAGATTAGCCCATATGATGCTCACTACGTGCTCTTGCTCGCCGAAGCCCATAAATTAAAAATGAAAACTGTTGCCAACGCGAGAAAAGAAATATCATCGGTTTTATTGATACATACGTATTAGCGTTTTATATAATATAGATGCTTTACCAGTTCAAGTTAAGAATCGCTAATTTTTTTCTGTTATAACTCGAAACAGTATGTCTAATATTATTCAGACATTAGCCGTTTTCGTTGAAGAAAAACTTTTGAGTGTAGGGAATACTGAACAATTGTATATTGTATGTTTTCCCGCAATCTTAAAAAAGAACATTCATGTAGGCAATGCCGGACATTAGCTCTTAACCCCGGAAAAAAAAAACAATGTAGTGAATGCTAACACCGTACGCAGTTTGTTCGGTACTATACCAAACAAGGGTTAGTTATATATTACTTAACAAAATAATGCTTTATCAAAATATCTAACTCTAATTTTGGTCGTTAGCAGACTAATATTGATTATAACTAGTTTTTGCTGATTAAGTGTGGATAGGTAAAATATATTCCCGGGCTTTAACCGACTAGGAATACTAATTATGTTAAATCTAGGTTTACCTCTCGTTTTTTCCCTCCAAAACATGCCTATTTTTTCATTTTTTAAAATTTATTTTTTTAGTGACTAGCAAATTCAAAAGCTAAATAAAACATTAGTTTTGTGAATAGCATGGGGAAAGCTATTTATTCAGCATATTTAACCTCTTTTAGTATAAATATATATATTAAGAATAATCTTAGATGCAAATGTAAACTATTACGTCTTTAAGACTTGAGATTAAACATTGTATTACAAATAATGAACATTATAATCCGTAAAATTGTTTCAGCTCGTTTATAGGAATATACAATGAAGCTAACACATAAAACTACGTAGTTGGTTATTAAAATAACGCGTAGTAAATACTACCCTTTACAAATGCTTTGAACTCCTTACATTTCGAAACAAACAATAAACAACCGTATTCATTCCAATTATCCTAAATGCGTAATAATTTGCATTTGCAGAATAATTAATTCAATCAATTAATTCTACTGCTAAATAATCATTGATATCGCGTCAAATAATATTTAATCTAATTTTTACAAACACCAAATCCGAGAATTCGGTACGGAAACTCTAGAACGGTTTTTATAAGTCCAAAGATATCCTTCGCTACATCGTCACCAGTTAATTTAAAAGAACGCAAACATGCGATTGCTAATAAAGAACAAACATTGGCCGTTCGTATTATTGGATTGTGGAAAATTGAATTTCGTAATTTTTAAACACACATCTGGAGACACTGTAATTAATTATGGAAAACTTAATTTCTGGAACTAAATTAATCAGATAAAGAGGCGTTTCTAGAAATTAAATTCCAACTATTTCAACAGAACAAGGAATTTTTGTTTTTGGAGGGAAGGAGAATCATTGTAATGAACATTGAGAGAATGAATGTTTATCAAACTGAACAAATCTAAATCTTCATTAGTGTCGGGAAATCTTTAAAATACACTCAAGGGGGGGGGGGAGGTGCTGACGTGAGTTCTAAAATTCAAGAGAAGCGCACACCTTGAATAAATTATTCTGCGAAATACGAATGCAAAAAGGCGTGAAACAAGATACATTTTAACAATTACATTTGGTAATAGCATTTTCAATTTATGCAGAATTGAAATTTGAAAATCTAAATTTGCGACACTGTAAAATTAAATTCTGGTAGTTCCGTCTTGTATTTCAAATATGACTTGCAAATTTGTACCTGCGTAACTGAATTCAAAAATAGTTAGTTAATAGTTAGAAAATGTTTACGCCGAATCGATTACATGAAAGTAAAACTAATAGTTTAGTTCAAAGGATGTTTTATGCATTATTATAATTTTTTGATTTAACAATGCCAAACTAGAAGCTTAAATGTAAGTAAAAATTTTTATACTTCATACATAAAAGACTTTTACACATTGGTTTTTTATTTTTTATTTAGTGAAATAGATATTTTATATGCATTTATTATTTAAATTTAGTGCCAAATAAGTTTGCATTTTTTTTCTTTGCAAATTTCATAAGAAAAATGCTTTGAAGAGTTGTGTCATAGAAACAGCCATAGCAATGCATAGTTAAATTTATTCAAGCGTATTACCTCAACTTGTATAGAACTATGACTTTAAAAATAACAATACGGTTCATTTTTTTTCTAACACTGTTGCTACAGCTATGTACAAATATAATATTTTTTACACATATTCAAGGAGTACCTGGATATATTGAATACGCTTATTGCATATGTTATTTCTAAAGTGAAAATAATTATAAAATTGGGCATGTGCCACTGCAATGCATAGTTAAATTAATTTAAGCGGATTACCTCAACTTGTATATAGCTATCTGGTTTAGAAATATGACTTTAAAAATGACGATGCGGCTCAATTTTTTCTGACACTGTTGCTTCAACTATGTACAAAGACAATATTTTATGACACATATTCAAGGAGTACCGAGATATACTGAATACGACTTTTGTATACGTGATTTTTGAAATTAAACTAATCATAAAATTAGGCAAGTACTATTGGCTTTTCTCTAAAAATAAATAAATAAATTTACACAAAATTTTGCAACATGTTGTTAAAAAAAAAGATACCTCTTATTGCATGGTGGTGAAAAAAAGCAAAGACTTCAAATTTGTTTCAAAATTTAATGCTACTACAAGAATATTGCTGTTGGTTTGAACAATAATTAATTAACGGTTTTTTCCTAAATTACAGCATTATCTCTAAATTTTTTAATCGGCATCTAGAGCACCGTCTTCAGCTGTAAGGTTTGGGATTCTACAGCAGTTTCATTAACGATTAAGTCTGTTCTAACTTAAAAAATTATCGACGGATTTTCAAAAAAAAAAAACGCAATATCTAAACAATTTATCGACGGCTTTTTCAAAAGATAACGATGTCATACATATCCCAAAGTTTTTTTTAATAAGAATCATATTCACAAATACTAACTTGAGATCTCTAAAATTTGAGATTCCATTGTAGTTTTAAAAGCGATTAAGCCTATTTTGAAATAATTTATTGACAGTTGTTTCAAAAGATAACCCAATGATTAAGTGTTTTTATCAAACATTCACATACTTACCTAGGATCTAAGGTTAGGGTTTCTATAGCAGTTTCATGAACAAATAAGCCTATTCTGACAGAGCAATTTATCGACGGCTTTTTCGATAGATACGCTATTTTTTGTCTCTAACTGTTTCAATAAGAATCATATTTAGAAATATTTACTTAAGATGTAAGATTTGGGATTCTATAGCAGTTTTATAAGAGATTAAACCTATTCTGACGTATCACATCATCATTTCTGACATAGCACTTTATCGACGGCTTTTTCGAAATATAACTGCTATGGCATGTTCTTATATGTTTTAATGAAGATCATAATCAGAAATAATGTGAAGTTTAGGATTCTATGTGCAGTTTCTTAAATGATCAAGCTTACTCCATGCATTATCATTACTATCAATCATGAGTTCATTTAACGATCCAAATTTAATATTAAATCTTAAAATAAATACTAAAGGGAAATACACAGATACACTAACATAAAGAGAATTTTTTATTTAACTAATACAAAATATAGTTTTTAAGCTAAAAATAAAATATAAAAATAGCAACTAACTGGTCCTCTTAAATAGAAAGCGGTTAAAAATATTTTAGCTCCCAAGTTATTGAAACTCTGGTCATTTCTCGCGAAATATATTTTCTTTTGGAGCGAGGATAGAAAAGATTACAGAGAAAACAATAATAGTCTTCTTCTCTATGATGTACGATTAAGTTTCGGAAAAAAGAACCTACTGTAGCGAAGACAACCAACAATTTATTATGTATTTCATTTCTTTTTTGCCAACAGCAACTCAAATC